GACCTTACAGTTCAACGTTAACTTAAATGATTTTAGCAAATGGCTGCAATATAACAAAGAGTGAAAAATTTAAGGGGGTCTGAATACTTTCCGTACCCACTGTATATATTTCTGTACACCTAGCACTGATAGGTAAAGTACAAAAAGGGATCTAATTTATAAAGATATGTACCGAATCACCTTAAATGATATAATTTATATTAAATGATATAATATTTATCTTAAATTAGATAATTTCCTAAATGTTCCTTATACATGATTTAGTAGCAGAAACTATTATTAGTAAAGGAAATAGAGCTGATTAAGAGTCATTTTAATTATCTTCTCTTTGATTTGTGGCCTGAAAACCTTTTGAACTCGGCTTTTACACAAGGTGTATTTAAATGTTATGCAATGTCACTACTGTATCTGTGAGAAACGTCAGTGTGTCTGTACTGTATCCTCACGTCCAGTAACGTGTGTGTGTGTGTGTGTGTGTGTGTGCGCGTGTGTGTGTGTTTGAGTGTGTGCGTGTGTGTGTGTGTGCTGCAGGGTTGCCTCTATATTTGGCTCTTTTGAGTCTCACTCAGCTGGTCTCTTGCCGCAGTCCTGTTCCATTGATTCATTCACAAAAGCAGCCACACGTCAAACGCACAGAGAAAAATAATGAATGAGTGCTGCAGTGATCGCAGGTGCTTCAGCCGTCACAACGCACAGATATTCAGACCTCAGCAACTACAGATGAGATTCACTAACAAAATCAGTTCTGATTAATGATTATTTTAATACTTTTAAGGAAGTGAAAAAAAGCTTGATGGGATAACATTTGAAAATTAAGAAATTGATACTGTAAATTTACTTTTTTTTTCTTAAATAGGGTTGCAAAGGGGCAGAAAATCTCCGAAAACTTACCAAAATTCTCCAAAAGTTTCCAAAAAATCTGGAAAGGGTCTGTAATTTACTGGAAATTTTCCACCCCATTCTTAAATACCATTTATTTTATTTAAAAAAAGTTTTACCATACAATAATATTATTACTGTAGTAATATATTTCTTATTTTGCTTAATGTGCATTTTTATTGAATAATTGTTGTTACTATAGTTTCTTTAGTTATGTTGATACTGATATTTTGAGATAAACAAACAAACACTGCAAAAAAAGTTGTATTTTAAGTTGTAATCACAATTTTATGTTTAAAAAAACATTACTGTCCAGTGCTTATTGTTGTAACACTATTAATATTTTGAAATATTTTAAATGTTTTCATTTTCTGCCGTCTTTGTAGTTTAAGTTTTAGTTGTCATTTTTACAAATGTTTGTTTTTGATTTTTAAAACGTATTGTATGAGCCTGAAAAAAAGCCTGATGTATCAAATATGATACTCAACAGAGGTCCTTTTCAAAAAAATGTTTTTAGATGGTTAACATCAAAAATTATACATTTGAGCTTTAACAAATGCTGTCCTATGATCCAGCCTGACTCAGATCTTCTGACGTGTGCATTAATCATTTACACTCAGACATAATAATCACAAGACATATTGAATGGCTGAGTCTTGGCTTGATTTTGCAGTGACTGGTCCTGTGTGTCTCTCTCTGGTTCAGGTTTTGTCAGCAGGTGCTGCGTCTCGATGCAGATGCTCCGGGTGAAATGAATACGGCACCTCAGCCTCTGTCAGGACCCCCCTCCAACCCGCTTCCCGCGCCCTCCCCGGGCCTGTCCCAGGTAACTCGCATCATGCTTTCATTCATTTTCATTCATTTTCTTTACGCAAGTTGCTGTCTGAAATGTTCTCCCGCCGCATTTTGATTGACAGGATATAATCGGTTCTGATCACTGGCTGTTTTCAAAACCGATTATCGGCCGATATATCGGTGCATCCTCACTTCCAGAATAAAAATCTCCTGATCATTTACTCGCCCCATGCCATCTGAGATGTTCATGTCTTTCTGTCTTCAGTCGCAACAAAATGAAGGTTTTTGAGGAAAACATTCCAGGATTTTTCTCCATATAATGGACTTCAATGGGGATCAACGGGTTGAAGGTTCAAATTGCAGCTTCAAAGAGCTCTACACGATCCCAGCCTAGGAATAAGAGTCTTCTCTAGAGAAACCATCGCTCATTTTCTAAGAAAAATAAACATTTGTATAGTTTTTAACCACAGATGCTGGTCTTGCACTAGCTGGACTTCACGCATGATGTAATCACGTTGAAAAGGTCACGCGTGATGCAGGCGGAAGCACCGACCCAGTGTTTACAAAGCGAACGTGCAAAGAAAGTAAAACGCCCTTTACAAAAAAATGTAAAAGAACGATGTTGGAGGAGAAAATGAGATGGAGTTTTTCACCCTACTCTTCCTTTCTGAACCGGAGCACACAGATGAAGAGCTGACCGCGCGCGACCTTTCCAACGTGATTACGTCATGCGTGAAGTCCAGCTAGTGCAAGACCAGCATTTGATTAAAAACTATATAAATGTTTATTTTTTAATAAAATGAGTGATGGTTTCTCTAGATAAGACTCTTATTCCTCGGCTGGGATCCTGTAGAGCTCTTTGAAGCTGCACTGAAGCTGCAATTTGAACCTTCCACCCGTTGATCCCCATTGAAGTCCATTATATGGAGAAAAATCCTGGAATGTTTTCCTCAAAAACCTTAATTTCTTTGCGACTGAAGGCAGAAAGACATGAACATCTTGGAAGACATGGGGTGAGTAAATTCTTTTAAGGATGCACCGATATATCGGCCGATAATCGGTATTTAAAACAGCCAGTGATCAGAACCGATTATATCCTGTCAATCAAAATGCGGCGGGAAAACATTTCAGACAGCAACTTGCTGTGTCGTGTCAAATTCATGGCTGTTCGAGTTAACGCTTAATTACTGTTAATTATATATGTATGTTTGGATAAATCTGTCATGAAGACAAGTTTTTAAGAAAACTACCTCATGTGCAATTAAGTTGTATACAAATGTTTTTATTTGAGTGTGATTATTATATCTGAAAATAAATAGCATTGAATATAATAGTGTTGTTGTTCATTTTAACCGCTAATATTATGTACCAGTGTATAATTTACATCATTAGTTGGGAGACATTTGTTATTTTCTAATTAAGAAAACCGAACTATCGGTACTGGTATAATCAGATATCATTCTGAATGATCGGCTATCGGCTGAGTTCAGTGTCGGTGCGTCTCTAATTGTGATCTATTTGGAAAAAAAGAATAAAATAAATACAATTAAAAAATAAAAATAATATTTAAATAATTAAAAAGAAAGAAAAAGATCATTAAATTAAACAATTTAAATAAATAAATAATTTAAAAAAAAATGGAAAGAAAAAGTAAGATTATAAAATAAATACAAATAATTAAAAAAGAAAGAAATTATTTTAAATTAAATAGTTAAAAAAGAATGGGAAAAGTATGATAATAAATATAATTAAATAATTTAAAAAAGAATAAAATAAATACAATTAAATAATTAAAAAATAAAAATAATATTTAAATAATTAAAAAAGAAAAAAAATGATAATTAAATTAAACTATTTAAATAAATAAATAAATAATTAAAAAATGGAAAGAAAAGGTAAGATTATAAAATGTATACAAAGAATTAAAAAATAAATTATTTCAAATTAAATAGTTAAAAAAGAATGATAAAGTATGATAATAAATATAATTAAAAAAATTATCAAATTAATCAAATTAAATAATAAAAGATAATACTTAAATAATTAAAAAAGAAAGAAAAAGATAATAAAATTAATTTAAACAATTTAAAAAAAGATTTTTTTTAAATGGGAAGAAAAAGTAAGATTTTAAAATAAATACAAATTATAAAAAAATAAATGATTTCAAATTAAATAGTTAAAAAAAGAATGAACAAGTATGATAATAAATATATTTAAATAATAAAAAAAGAAAAATATAAATAATTTTAAAAAGAGACAGAAAAAAGAAAGTAAGAAAAGAATATATGTTTAGTTTAATGGCAGACATTTTTACAGAAGCTCCGTCTGGATCTCTCATGTAATGATGCACGTGTGTCTCTGTAGCCCAGTTTTGCTCCTGCGCCTCCGCGGGTTGTGTTCGGCACTCCTCCGCCGCAGATGAACCCCACGGCCCAACCCCGACAGGTACAGCACCCCAAACACGCGTCACCTCCTGCTGGGTTACTGGCCCCTTCACTTCCTCCACCGGCATTTCAGGATTTTCAATAACGAACCAAACCAGCCAGCTTATGTCACATTTAATATAACATTTCATAAAGATATAAAACACTAAGGTATCCCATAATGCAGAGATTCCCAAAATCTGTGAGCTAAAATATTTACTTATTTCAATAATTTAGCACATTCAAATGATCACATGACATGCAGGCCAATCTTTTTTAGTGAGTGTTTTATTTTGAGCTCTTATTTTTTTAATTATTTTAATTTTAAGACCAGTAAAAAATATTGTTGGGAAACCCTGCAATAAAACACTGTTAAAGATGGAATCAAACGTTAAACAATTAGTCCATCCTGAATTTTTTCCAAGAAAATGTTTTTTTTTAAATAATAAGAAATATTATTAATATACTGTTATAGTATTTTTTGATTTATTAATAATTATTAATATTTTAAAAGTTGTTTTCATTTTCATTTTAGTTTGTTTTTGTCATTTTTTATGTCTGTTTAGTTTATTAATTTGCTTTGCTTTTAGTTTTAGTACTTCAGCTTTAAATTAAAACTGGTGTTGCTTCGGGATCTTGACCTTTGACCTGTACGTGTGGCTTTCTCTTTCTAGTTTGCCTCAGGTGCGAGAGCTTTACCACAACAGGTACTAACACACACACGGAACAAGACCCGAAACATACTAAGGTCTTCTCTTTCTGAGCAGGAGTTTGTAGATAGTCTTGTTAAGCAAGTTAGCTGACGTTAGTTTAGAAAAGTTTATATCTTATCCTGATTTATCTGATGAGAGAGATGAGGGATAAATACATACAATTAAATAAATAAATACAAAATTTAATTAAAAAAAGAAAGAAAAGGTTAGATAAAGTAAAATGAATTAGAAAAAATACATTTAAATAATAAAAAAACTAAAAGGTATGATAATAAATAAACTGAAACGATGAAAAAAGAAAAACTAATTATTAAAGAGAAAATGTAACTAAGAAAATAATTAAATAACATTAAATGAAGAAATTTAAGTAAATTTATTTAAAGAGAGAAAATAATTTGATAATTGAAAAATAAAAATAATATTTAAATAATTTTAAAAAGAAAGAAAACAAAGAAAATGTAATAAAAGAAAAAAATGTAATTACAAAAAGAAAAAAGAAATAATTAAAAAAAGAAAACGGAAATAAAAAGTAAGATAATAAAATAAATGCAAATAATTAAAAAAGTTTAATTAAATAGATAAAAAAGATAAATGCTTTTAAATAATTAAAAAATAAAGAAAAAGTATGATAATGAATATAATTAAATAATTTAAAAAAAATAAAGAAAAAGAAAATGTAACAAATAAAATTATAAAATTTAAAAAAAATAAAAATAAATCATTAAAAAAGAATGAAAAAAAAGAAAACGGACATAAAAAGTAAGATTAAAAAAATAAATACAAATAATTAAAAAATAAAAAATATAAATAATTTAAAAAAGGGAAAGAAAAAAGAAAGTGAGAAAAAAATAATGTTTTTTAGTTTAATTACAGAAACTCCAGCCGTTTGAGTGCTGAGGTTTGCAGAGTAGAGTATGTTTCCGGCTGTTGATGTGTCGTCTCAATCTCAACAACTGAATGCTGTGTTTACATGCTGCTCTGTTCCTCTAACTCCCGGGTAACACACACTCTTCATCTCTCTCTCGCGCCTCTGCTGCGTGTGTGTGTGTGTGAGTCTGTGTGTGTGTGTGTGAGAGAGAGAGAGAGAGAGAGAGAGAGTGTGTTTGTGTGTGTGTGTGTGTGTGTGAGAGAGAGAGAGAGAGAGAGAGAGAGTGTGTTTGTGTGTGTGTGTGTGTGTGTGAGAGAGAGAGAGAGAGAGAGAGAGAGTGTGTTTGTGTGTGTGTGTGTGTGTGTGAGAGAGAGAGAGAGAGAGAGAGAGAGTGTGTTTGTGTGTGTGTGTGTGTGTGTGAGAGAGAGAGAGAGAGAGAGAGAGAGTGTGTTTGTGTGTGTGTGTGTGTGTGTGAGAGAGAGAGAGAGAGAGAGAGAGAGTGTGTTTGTGTGTGTGTGTGTGTGTGTGAGAGAGAGAGAGAGAGAGAGAGAGAGTGTGTTTGTGTGTGTGTGTGTGTGTGTGAGAGAGAGAGAGAGAGAGAGAGAGAGTGTGTTTGTGTGTGTGTGTGTGTGTGTGAGAGAGAGAGAGAGAGAGAGAGAGAGTGTGTTTGTGTGTGTGTGTGTGTGTGTGAGAGAGAGAGAGAGAGAGAGAGAGAGTGTGTTTGTGTGTGTGTGTGTGTGTGTGAGAGAGAGAGAGAGAGAGAGAGAGAGTGTGTTTGTGTGTGTGTGTGTGTGTGTGAGAGAGAGAGAGAGAGAGAGAGAGAGTGTGTTTGTGTGTGTGTGTGTGTGTGTGAGAGAGAGAGAGAGAGAGAGAGAGAGTGTGTTTGTGTGTGTGTGTGTGTGTGTGAGAGAGAGAGAGAGAGAGAGAGAGAGTGTGTTTGTGTGTGTGTGTGTGTGTGTGAGAGAGAGAGAGAGAGAGAGAGAGTGTGTGTGTGTGTGTGTGAGAGAGAGAGAGAGTGTGTGTGTGTGTGTGTGTGTGTGTGTGTGTGTATGGTGCTGCTGAAGGGAGGATTCAGGTCACTGCAGGTAACGCTCACCAGCTTTTCTTCCACTTCCACAGAAATCTTTCTTTAAAGTCAGTGTGAAACCCATTTGACTTTCGTAAGATGATAAATATGATAAGTTAAACTGCATACTCAACAGTGTTATCCACGAGGATTTAAAAATGTGAGGTTTATATTGTATTGCAGTTGACGACAATATCTATATTCATAAATTAGCGATTGCATTTTCTGCTTAAAAAGTTGAGTGTCTGTGTTTTTCTCTGTTTTCAGCCGTACTATCCCAGTCGGCCCACTTTACCTGCTAATTCTGGGCGTGTCCCACCAAGCTCCGCCCCTCGGCCCATCCCCCCTCCGCATGGAGCCCGCCCCCCCCATGTGTTCCAGACCGGCCCCTCCCAGATGATGATGATTCCCCAGCAACCAATCAGCTTCCCCAATTCACAAGGCACGGCTTACTATATATCTGGTCAGGTAAGCGCTGAAATATCTGTATTAAATATCAGTTTTTTTCTGTCTTTTATATGTTGCATAAGAAATCCCACGGGGCAGTTAGTGACGCTACTTTGAAACGTGCCAAACTGCTTTTAATTTAAAGTAGTTAAAATAGTCAAAAATAGTTAATTATCCTTAATGCTTACACAGTGTAGCTAATTACAGTTAGTCATGTAAGGGAGAAATATATTAATATAATAATAATAATAATAATAATAAATAACTAAATAATAATAAACTTTAACTAAAATTAATACAGAAAATAAATCAAAATAATAGTAATAAATCTTATTTAAAAAATGTTATTTAACAAAACTGATAGTAAATCAATGATACTAAAATAGCACTGATGTATTGATGATTTAGAGATCTCATTTATTAAGATGATTTCTATAATCATCTTAAATGGAAACCAATTATAATAATCTAGATGGTCTGTGCAAATCATTTATAAATAAAAATAATAAATAAAAAATTCAGTCCTACTTTATTGATCTCAAAATCATCTTGACATTGTGCTTATTTTAAAATGTTTATTTTAACACAGAATCCAATTTATTGAATTGGGATCAGAACTGATCATGTTTTAACAAGAAAGCACCAGACACACACACACACACACACACACTCTCTCTCACACACACACACACACACACACACTCTCTCAC